AGCCTTATAATGATTAACTTATAAATATACTCTTGCCGTTCAGCAGAATTGCAGCAGCAAAACTCTGCCAAAGATAGCGACGTGGTCGATCATCGCTTGCAGACCATTCCTGAGTCGGCCGCCCATGACCACAGACGAGACGATGAGGAGAACTTCATGATGCCTAACATGCTAGACACCATGTTCGGCGGCTTTGGTAAGTCTGACCCACACGTAGTGTAGATACTCATTTACTGTCATACAGATGTCTTTTGTTGCTGTTTGATAGGCTTTCCCTTTGCATATTACATGTACATTAGGGTATAATATACATGTAATATATATATATATGTATCTCCTTTTTAAAAGAGTTTAGAATAAGTAAGTAAAATTTCATCAAAGAAAATCAGGATTTCATTAATTCAGATAGGGTGAGAATAATACCATGCTACATTCCACTGCATGTTCGTATGAGGTGACTAACGTAGGTCTCCCCGTAAAATCACGGATTTTCTCTTTGTTTTCTGTTTTGAGGACATTTTGAGGAAAACCAAAACTGATACGCTGTCGTCATTGCGCCAATCTCGTATTTTCTATTTGATTGTTTAAATGTCGTAAAATGTCGTATTATTCGCTAAACTCCAGGTCGCCAGTAAAACTCAGTTTGTGATGATATACACTACATGTGTTTACCGCTGCAACACTTAAGAAAATGACACTATAGTCTAACTGTTCTGTCCTGACGCCAACAGGACACATTAGAACGTGCTTTATCACTGTACAATAAATAGTTTCCACTTTTTCAGGAAAGAAGTAACCTCGCTACTCCGGGAGACATTTCGGATTTGAACTGTAACAGTTACCAACCAAATCGGTGTAAATTATAGCAGCATTGATTTTTTTCTTCAAATAAATGTCACGAATTGCCTTTGATGTCTTTAATTTAATAAACAAGCAGGAAATGAGGACTCTCTTCATGAATCCATCAAACCATGAATACTCAGTGCTTTCTAAGATGTAAACTTGGAACCATCGCTGGAAATAGGAAGAAGGAAGCACATATTTAAGAATATCGTAGCCAAAAAAAGTGAAGTTTTACTGAACCGTGTAGCCATTTTGTCCGATTTGGACTTATCATGGGTACTTAATGGAAATCACATGTAGAAATGCAGCACAAGGGAAATGGATAAAAACAAATTATTTATCACGTTACTAGGGGCGTTATGGGTCATTGCCGACCTCATCGGGGATTTTCAATTAGTTATATTCGTAATCTGGGATAATATGAAATTTCAAATTCACTTGACAACTTTTATTTGAGATATGGCATATCATATATCGGTATAAAAAGCATTGCTCTTAATTAAATGCATGAATATTGCCTTTTGTGCGTTAATTACGTCGACAATTGGCATTTTGTAGCAAATTAACCAATCACTCGTTAGATTTTATAAAGCCTTCGCTTGCACCAACCAAATACATATCTCCCATGCTTAAACACTGCAATACCCTAGTTCATTCATTTTTGGTTGTCACATGCGAAGGTTTGCATTTCTGCATGCTAACTACTAGAATATATAAAAATGCTATGTTGACGTGACGTCGTACGTGTACAACTGTTATGAGAAGAGAATCCCTCCGTTTCAGCTCGAGGGTGAGACAAGGATATTTTCAAACCCTGGTCAGACGTATACCCACTTGTCCTGGTGCGATATATCATTGTCTCACCCTAGGACTGAGACGAGGAGATTCCCAATCAAAACCCATAGCATGGAGGGTTCCTTATCAAAACAAACTCGTCAAGAATACGATGACGTCACGTCAACGATGCATTGCGCCCGTAACGTCAGCACATCGGGCTGATATTGAGGTCTCGGGTTGATACAGGCTAGGGGTATGGAAATGGTGATATGACAAGCTTTAAATATGAAAGGGACAACATGACAGGGTAAACTAAATAAATAGTTCATTCACTTGAGGTTAGATGGGGAATATTAACCCTCGGGAAAAAGTACGTTGTTATCATACAGTTATTTAATGCATTATCACGGTATAGTCAGAAATATTTGATTCGAAGTGCTGGTAGTTGATGTGATATTGAACGAGGCCGCACATCCATGTCATATATATATACTTAAGTGTTCTTACTGATACATATGTAGAAAGAAGTAAATGGAAAAATCTGTACGTACCCAACCCTAAATAACATTACATATTTACATGTTTTGGCTATAACTGAGAAGTATATAAAACTGAAATTTCCAGCCGCAATGTAACGGCCAATTGTCCGGGGACCGATAGTCCACCAGCAGAGTGAATATATTGTGATTTAGGCCTATAACCCGGAAATAAGTTAATACAATGCTTAACTAGATACCTAGTATATACTGTATCGTAATTAAGAACACTTCTTTGTGTCTTAGTAAAAACAGGCTTAGAGTTTTCCAACATATTCACTCACAAATATTTCCAATATAACAACTGATATAATTGGAAACTGTACGAATCTGAACATTTGGGATGATATCAGGAAATAGACATTTACCTTTCACATTGTCATTCAGTATGAAGACCAGTGGCAAACAGATGAAGAGTGAATATTCATTTTTTTTTAATAAACCAAGCCCTATTGCCAGGGGCGTAACTAGCCCTTGTTCGGAGTGGATCCATTTAGAAGCTGCTTCAGGAGAGAACCTTGGTAGGGGAACAAAGGGGGCAACAAGCTGTGTTTTTGTTTCGTTTAGTTATTCTGTTTGAAAATTTGGTGTAGTAACCAGCTTACCAATGTAAAGGCAGCTACATTGTATGTTCCTGCTTGCATCCATAGCGCATTTGTTTACATACAAATTCCCGAATGATTGATGGTTGGTATGAGATTTACTGATCGCCTGTTACAATTTGAAAAATAACCAATGAGAGTTAAATAAACATGATAACCAGCCACCACGAGTGTGGGGACATTTCTCTCTCATATTTTGTCTGGAAAACCAAATATTTCCCTGGTAATATTCATTATGTCTGTTTCCGATTAGGGAAACAATTGATTTCCAGGAATCGTGACGTCATAATGGAAGATGACGTCGCAAAGAATTGTTACCTGACGTTATGGCAAGCCAAGTTGTCATTTATTCATGGAGCAATGTTGATCCAGTACTTAACCAAATTATATAAGATATCTCATATATTGTATAAGATATCTTATATATTAAATAAGATATCTTAAAAACATATGAGATATCTGATTTTAAGTTTATGAGATATCTTATATATTTTATAAGATATCTTATATACTTTATAAGATATCTTGTAAAAGATATAAGATATCTTATAAAAGATATAAGATATCTCATAAACTTTTCTTTATAAGATATCTTATATCTTTTATAAGATATCTTATATAAT